AGTTTGCTGTGTAAACATATTCTTTATTTACATTAATACTTGTTTTCACAAAAAAGAAACCTTTTCGTTAGCGTTCAGTTGATAATGCGTAAAATCTGATAAGCAAACACGTTTAGTTTGTTTTGTTGAAAATAGATGGCGATAGTAGTAGTTTATGTAAATCCTGAATCGCGCTATTAAGATTTTTCCTGGCTCCTATATATATAAATATGTGAACAAGAGTGGTACATTTGATCTTTTTGAACTCACGAGTATGTAGACTTAGGATAGAAATTTGGGACACGAAAAATAGGTGTAAACAAATAATTAGATTAATAAGTACTGTGTAACTTAACGAGTGTCAGGACAAGTAGTGCGCCTGGTGGTAAGCGACTTATATGTCGCAGTGCCCTCTGAGCTTTAAAGTTAAAGTCATGTAATCTTTATATCATGGGTAAGCAAATTACACTCGCAATCGCCATACTGATTAAACTCTACTACTCATTTGTAAGGCAGATTCCCCTGAGAAGAATGAGAGAAGTAGAGAAACAAGAAACTGTAAGCAAGAAACTCTCAACTTGTAAATATACTTTTGAATACATTTATCATCACAATATTTCATTTAAACATCTCTTACATCGAGAATACCTGAAAGAGCTAAATAGGTAAAGTTGTATAGTAATAACCTTTAGTATAAAATTTTTGTTTCACAATAGCTTTAGACCTCGTAAATGGCAAATTTGAAATATCAATCGGAATCTTATTATAAAAGAGTATACATTGCCTCTTAAGTGAATTTGAGACTTTTAATCACAAGGACCAGAGGAACACATCAACAACAAGTTGATAAGTCTCAAGTGATAGTAATTTCACCAGAAGCCGTACAGTTAAAAACCGGAACGCAGTATTCTGAGAATTACCCCTTGGCGGCAGAAATAGATATGGAGGCAGCACTTCTCTGGATGAACTCTTCCAGAAGAAGCTCTACTGCTATTAAAATACGTATAAATACATTATATATAAGTAACAAAGAGATGTCTATCAACACTTTTTGAATTCTTTACTTAAAATCAAATTAATAAACAATATATAAGTTTTAGAAAAAAAGAAATTTATTTAACAAAATCTAAAACACAAGTTCCGAACAAAAAAGTACCTAAAGTGGAAAAAAGTATACGCCACGTCAATCAACTGTGACACAATGGAGAGGGCAACATATTTTTGACGGCAAAAAAAAATGTAAATAAAATTTCTCATGTCAAAAAAAGAATACTATTGGTACCGAATTCATTTGAACCGCTCTGTATATTTGTTCGGAACCCGGATGGGTAGAGTTTTTTTAATCTATTTTTGTGAACTGGTGTTTAGGGGTGTATACAAAATAGCTGCACATGGCAAGTGTAAAAACTTGTAGATAAGGGCTTAGCTAAGTACAAAAAGGCTACGATTTGAATTGCAACGCAGAAACACAAAATAAACAAAAGCAGTAAGTAAAACTACAAAGTAACTGTTACAGTACACAAATATACATCATAGTGCGTGAGATGCACTATAAGATTCCGGAATGAACAAGAAACAAATACTATAAATGGTCAAAAATAAATTTATTGTTTCTCAAAATATTCTGCGTTAGCGTTAATGCACTTTTCATACGAATGCACCAATTTTGAAAACATTTATGCCACTCCTCCGTGACAATCTCTGAAACCTATTTTTCATACTCTTCGAAAGCCTCTTCAGGTGATGAAAATCGCTGCGTAACTGGTTCTTAATTTTTGGAAATAAATGAAAGTCACAATGTGCCAGGTCGGAACTGTACCCGGGCGGCGTCGTGGTGAATGTTCACTGATCCCACGGCGCCGACTCAACCGGCGAGAGGGAAACCCGGGGGGGTTTTAGTGGGGTAGGCCCTCCAGTCTGGAGGGAGAGTCCCCACATAACCCCTGAGTCTCCCTGGGCTCAGGGGTATCCATAAATATTTCCCCCCGTCAAAAAAAAAAAAAAATTGTCGGGAGTGTACGCAAGATGGCTCATAAGGTCAACGTTGTTCACCTTAAAAAAATCATTTGAGTTTGTCAATAACTTCCGGCAAACAAATGATCGTGTACCAATCACTATTCACAGTACAACGATTCTCCAAAGCAACAATAGCTACGTGTCTAGTTTTATTAAAAAAAAGAAGCAATCATCCGCTTAAAGGCACTTTGCACGCGCGCCACTTTGGTTGGTTTCGGCTCATCTCGAAAGACCCATACGCTCGATTGCTGCTTTATTTTGGGATCGTAACTATAAATCCATATTTCGTTACCTATTACTATGTCCCACACTAAATTTGACTCTCCTTCGTTTAATCTGGTAAGCATGGCATTGCACCAAATGACGCGATCCGTTTTTTGAGCCTCAGTCAAATTGTGTGGGATCCACCGAGAGCACAGCTTTTTCACACCCAAATGTTTGTGTAGTATTGATTATATTTGACTCATGCCTATGCCTAAAGATGCCCGACTCTCATGGTATGTCACACGTCTGTCTGTTTTGATCACACGGCGCACAGCATTGTTGATTTTGTTGTTCACAGCAATGGACGGACGACCATCACGAAATTTGTCACCGAAATTCACACGACCGCGTTTGAATTCTGCAAACCAGCTATAAATAGAAAGATAGAAACCATCAGTGGAACAAGGATTTTTTTTTAGGAATAATTAGGGTCCTTGTTTTCATAAAAACAAATTTTACTGTGTTCTGTTGTCCACAAATTTTTAAGTTTGAATATCACGATATTTGACTATCATTATGTTCAATTATTTTTTGTGTGTTATTACTCCACTAGTTTGTTATAATTATTAATACAAAGATCGAACATTAAGAAAAATTCCTTCGGTCTGTGTAAGGAAAGAAACTACCGGACCTTACGAATATTTCTATGTGCTTGTTGCAGATCTTGTTTTTTTGTTTTTAATGATTTTTACCATAGCGCCATCTGGGAAATTCTATGAAAGTTTTTATTCACTGAGGCAGGTACTTTTAAGCAACCAGCGGCTAACAAGAGATGTCGCTTTAGTAATTGTAATATTAGCTTTTTTTCAGTTTCTAGTGAGGAACATTTCATTGTATATCAGACATGTTTTGTAAGTATCTGTTTGGGATAGGTGTTGTGCTTTTGTTTTTTTTGTTTCCCTTCAAACATTTTTTTTAATTCTTTTTCGTTCTTCTTTTTATTCTGCTTTTTACCATTTAAGGAAATGTTATCTTCTGTTTGAAAATTGACAACCGCTATCGGTTTTATTGTGTAAATTATAATTATTATTTTGTTTTCTTTGCTACTTTCGCGCTCCTCCTACTAGATTATCTGTTACACAAACGTGAGACCTCAGCTTCTGCCAGGGAGCTTCAGGCTGAAAATCAGTGTGGCGCAAACCAAGGTTTACACAGCATATTCTGAGCTCAGAATCCTCGCCGCATATCTGCGACCATAGATATAATTTTGTGTTTTTAATTACTATTTATATTTTCGCTTTTTCATTTGTATGTTTTATGTTTTTTTGTGTATGTGTGTGGCAAATAAATGGAATTTGGAATTTAAATTTGAATTTGTATGGGAAAAAAATTGGAGCTGCTTAAGTTGGTCAAATTGAATGAAATATTTTTCACATAATTTTGATGATCTTTATACGATAAGATTATAAAAATTCGCACTAGGTGAACGTCGCGCTAGGAAAACACCGAGGTTGCCGCCTGATTAGCGTTAGCTCCTATATAAGTGAGTAGCATACCGCCACATAGAGAACGTTTAACAAATTATTCACAAATTTAATTTATAGCCGCATGAACAGAATTTGAAATTAATTCAAGCGTTTCATTAAACATTTATTAAAACGACTTTAACAATGTAACTCATTCAAATTCACAAAGTGTGTTCCATTTTTCGATGAGGTCAACGCACTTTTGAACGCTACTGGATTCCATTAGCGTGATATTGGAGATTTTATACTTCGGATAACGGTAAGTCTCCCCTTTGATTAAAATTTAAATTCAGAGTTATAGTTGTAGTTTACACACACTAAGATATAAATAATGTAGAGTGGTGAGCAGAGGGAGTATTAAATAAAAGGCAAAAATAAAATGTTTATGCGGCTAGCATCGAGTATATAACCAGAAATAGAGACGAAATATCATTTAATTTGCTTGAAAACTATTCTATCATATCCATTGACTTACAGTAAGTCAATGGTCATATCTATATTACTATGACAACTGCGCTCCGATTGGCTAGCCCGAGTTCGAAACAATTGTCGGGTGTGGTCAATGGGTGTCGTCAATTGTTTCACTTCAAATCGACCAGTTAACTTGAGCTTTGCTATAATGGACGAAAATTGCAAAATTACGTATTTAATATTTAATTACCGATGAAATGTGATTCCATTTGTTTTGTAACTAGATGTTTAGCTGTTTTTCCCACACCAACGAATAGAACAGCATAGCATTGTTAGAGATATTATCTTTATGACAGTAAATACAGAATATTTTTTTGGAATATACGGAGACGTACACACAGGTCAGTAGTTGGCCTGTCTATATTTCAGTGCAAACGAGAATTGATATTTATAAGAGCTGTATCGCTAATGTGTTACCAGGAATATATGGCCCCTATTTCGTGTCTATTTCTGGTTATATACTCGATAGCGGCTAGGGCCCAAACAGGTGTCTCACTGACGTGAAAGCGCTAGGTTCAGTGCCGAAGCTAAAATAGCAGTAAGTAAAGACTAAAATGTCGCAATAACTTGAGAGCCTTTTAGTGCCATACAAATGCTATAGGGGTAGAAAGCATTCATCCGTTCATTAATTTCATTGATAATACAAAACATAATGAGTTGACTTATACTATTAAAGTTAACAAAATGATAGCGCGTTTCAGGATATAGCTATTGCCATCTAGCGATGGTGCGATAGAACTAATTGCGTGTTAAAGTTATTGTTGTTACAATAATAATTATAACTTTTTTATTTAAAAAACCAACCTCAAAGTAAGCTCCGCTTTTGCTGTGTTCGTCACCGTGGTCTCCTCAATGACACCTGAAAGAAAAAGAACAATAATGTGAGCCCAAATACAAGGTAGCTGCAATGCACAGGTCCTCTCATCTGTGCCATCAAATCAGCTCTAGATCACCTTAATATTTTACTTTCATTGGAATTACAATGTACTAAGTTTTATTGAAATCGATTAACGAAGAGTGTCCCATCATTTGCCACGTTTAATATTTTCTTCAACAAAAAAGAATCATCGAAATCGGTTCCCAAATGTCGGAGTTATCGCATGACATACACACACACAAAAATTACAGTCCAATAGGAACCTCTTCCTTTTTCGAAGTCGGTTAATAAATATACATTACTGTCATTACACACTATCAGAAATATTGTGTCTCCGTTAACGATCGTCATATAAGTTCATAACAAATACACGAGGATTTAGTAAAATAAAACTATGTAAAAACGGATTAAAATTCATAACAGTAAAATTATGGTTCAATTTTAATTGTCGCTAAACTAAATTGTACAAAGCATTATGAACTTTATGTCTGTTTAGTAACGTACAAACGAGATCTCTCTCTCTCTTATTTAAGCATAAAAAGTTATCAACATTTTTCTTCTATTTAATCAAGCGATGGGACGGACGAGTCGTGCGCCTGATGATATAAATCGCAAAGACCTGAGGGGCACTCCGAGGCACAAACTGACAAGTCCCGTATAATATATAATAATATAATAACGCACACACTCAACATAGCCCCGCACTAGGGAAACCCTGTGTCGCGGGTGCCATGGGCACACACATAGACAACCACAAATTACACCCAAACTCACGAGAGAAATAAATGTAGGTCATACAAATATTTCTCCCGGCCCGGGAATCGAACCTGGGATCTCTGCGTGGCAGTCCGGCATGGTAACCGTTCGACCACGGAGGCAGTTAAAGTGAGCCTGTAATTTCACCAGCACCCTTACCCTTCAACACCGGAACGCAGTAATGCTCACATTGGTGGGAGTACTTCCCTGGACGGGCTCTTTTACAAGGAGATCTACTGTTACCAAAATTAATTTCGTTCGTAGAATATTTAGACCTCTCTCCTGAAAAGTTGTTGTTTTGCAGATGTGACCTTATTACACTAACGGTGCAAAATAGTGTATGTAGTACTATTAACAAAAAAAAATACTGATCTGGATTAAAACACTTATTTTCAATGATATAGTCAACATCAATTTAGCAGAAATAACTCTTTTTATACTATGTTGTCCGTCTGTGGAACAAGTGATTATACAAAATTTCGTAGTTTTAGATAAACCTTTTTCCATCATTGGAGTCAAAAGCGGTGATATGGTAGTGATTTGCACAAAAACCTGTTATTTTGCTATCTCTTTCTTTAATTTATTTAACGATGATCAAAAGGAATCGATTAACAAAAATTGTTAATTACTAGAAGCCATAGCCATATTAATATACATGTCAAATTAATTCTACGAGTTTGCATAAAAAAGAAAATATGGGCGACAGTTGGATAGTTTTGCTTCTTTTTGAAATTTAAGCGTCAAAGATTCAAATTAAGATAAAGTCCTAATTATGAGAGCGAAATATTTAGATTAAAAAAAAATATTTATTTTTATAAATTGATGTATCTCATGTTTGATTTCCTGTGAATTACAGATATTTCGATAAGAAAATACAAAAGTGATGTTAAGTAGTCCATATCGATAATATCGACCGTTATTAATTTGCGACCGTATAATATTGCAGACATTTCTTACGGTATCGATATATAAAATCTAAGCGTCTTCCTTCTGGATTCTTTACGTGCTCTAGACTCTGCCCCAAGCCTATTTAGAGATTTCCACATCGACCAAGGCATTTCGAATCCAGAAGGAAGACGCTTAGATTTTATATATCTAGAGTTGGCCGGACTAGAGTTGGCCGATGTAAGATCAATTTATTCAGGTTGGGATTTTCGGGTAGTTCTAACCTAGATTGTTTGTGCGGTGCGATTCAAACGACGGCCCACCTCACATCATGCCGAGTATGCCCTAATATCTGAACGATTGAGGATTTAATGACGGCTACTAGTAACGCGGATGGCGTGATAGAGTTTTGGACCACAATAGTATAGTGTATGCCATCGATACAACAAGAAGAAGAAGATAAAAGGAATATAAATGGAATAAACAAGCTCTATTTTCTGCCAAAGCCATGTAGCTATGTTTCTTTGAACAAAATCGTGCGACAAAGCTCTCACTGGTGTCCATAGGATTCCTGGCTTTAAATTAATTCTTATAAGAACTATTTGGTCATAGCGCCATCTGGTATTGAGTGACGGAACTCTAAAAGCAAATATGTAGCTGTTTCTAAAATGAGAAGAAGTATGATCAGCTTTGACGTTAATGAGTTGAATAACTCATTTCATGGAAATTCACACACTGTTTTACCGGGTCACTCGAAATATGTAACGTGCTGAGAGTAACAGAAAATAAAATGCAGTTGTTACTTTAAATCTAAAATACAATTTTACTATATCGACATTTAACGCTTTTATTATTATTATCGATATACTCAACTATCGCTACAATCCCAACACCATAAAAGCCGTAAAACAGTAGGTAAATTTACAGAAATAGGATTTTAAATAATTTTACATAACACGGCGGCGTTAAGCCGAAAAATTTTGCAATAAAATCAAATTAGTCATAGTAAATTAAAAAGAACGACGACAGGTTACATAATCAATTTGTAATAAGTTATAGCTTGCTTTATTAAATATGGAGATCACATTATAACTCTCATTCTCGTTTTCTCTCGTGTATCGAGTTCTTAGGCTTTCGCGATTGTTACAAACAGAAGATGGAACTACTTACCATACAAACTATACTTTATTGCACACAAGAACAATGTTTTTATAAGTCTGGGCAAAGACCTCCCATTGCTCTCGATTTTGGACATCTGGCCAGTCCTTTACAAAAGAGTCCAAGACATTCCGGCATCGCCGACGTGGACAAGAACAAATACTAATCATTATTTTTTCGGTCTAAATGGAGTATATTTGTTTTTTCAAACACACCAATGTAACGTTTCGGACCCGTTACATGTTCCGGATTGACAAATGGACGTAGTTAAGCAAAAATGATCCAGCTGGGCCGGGTCTGGTAGCTGTAAAGATATCTAACTGGGTGACGAAATACTTTCATTGATTTCTCTTAGATGGCACTACGACTACAAAATTGTTGAAAAACCAAGTACAAAGACACAACAACAAGCACATAGAAAAATTCGTGAGATCCACTGGTTCGTTCCGCGGCTAGTAAGTCAAGGAGTGGAGTGGTATAGCGTCTGGCGCGGTATGCTAGAGGACGTCGGTTTGTATCCGGCCGGATCAAAGGATTTTTTTCGGAGTGTTCGATTTTTGTATTACTAATTATAACAAACTAGTGGAGTAATTTCACAAAAAAATAGTTGAATATCAATTCAATAAATATTTAAAAAGGATACAATCCACAAAATTATCGCCAATATTAATTTTTTGCTTTCTTAGGTCAGCAAAAAAAATCCAACATATAAACATAAATAAATATCTATACAGTTACATGATATTATAAGTTTTGAAAATAAAACAAATGTGAGAAACACTTTTAAACTTTATACTGCCATATCTCGAAAGTGGCTGGATGTGCATTAGATCCATTTAGTTTAACTACGTCCAAATATTCGCGATTAAAAAAAAAATCACCACACTCACAGCCCCGCACTAAGGAAACCCTGTATCGCGGGTGCCATGGACACACTCATAGATAACCACAAATTATAAATTTAGGCCATACGAATATTTCTCCCGGACTGAAAATCGAACCCGGGACCTCTGCGTGGCAGTCCAGTTCGGCCACAGAGGCAGTTAGGTTTCATTTCGTTTTTCTGCCATTCAATCCTACTGCAAGGCAAAAGCCCCTTGTCCCTTCCTCCACTCGTTGCGACTTAACACCGCTACAGGCCAATATTTCATACGAGCATCACCCTGTGGCCTATATATGTATGTATTTCAAGTTTTCTCATCTTCGACTTATCTGAGAGTCCTGTGCCGTTGTCACTATTGATCGCGTAAATTACTTCACAATTTTGTACGACAGACTATACAGTGGCAAATTATAATTATTACAGTATAATGTGATCCACAAACAGTGATTCGTTCTGTGCACCGTTTAGGTTTTCGGGTTTCTCTTAGAGAAAAGTTTCCATGACTATGGCATCACAGTACATTTACTCAAATATTTTGTATGCCCGTAAAAATATACATATGTTCGTTAAGAAAGAAGATATCCATAATACTAACCTTAGAACTAAATACACACATGGTACCACGATTTCGTTTAACTAAAGTTAACGATTCTTAACGGGGAACTGAATACGTTTTTGCAATAAGATTCCGGGGCATATACATATATTACCATTTAATTTTTTTTATGTTAAAACTTACTTTAAAAGTATTTGAATAGAAAAGTCATGTTACAAAATTGTAGACTACGTGTTAGATAAAGATGTATGAGTGAGACAACATGAGTCTAGATTCCACACAAATGTTTCAAAGTGTGTTCTATATAGCATTTAAGTTTATTTGAAAAGAGCAATCCCTAGAGTTTCTTGCTCATGCTTCTCAGGGAAGTCGGCACAGTGAACGAGCAGTAGCTTAAAAAATGACGTTTTCAAGTGTAAAAACTTTACCTATGGAATAAATTATTATTTGACCTTGACTTTTGAAACAACATTTTGTATATACACATCATACATGGGTTTACTATGCTTGTCTTTTTATGCTATGGTAAAATTCTCTCTTGGTACATAACGCAGTAACTTGAGGTACATGTACCCTACAAAATATTTACATAGAACAATCCTAACCCGCATTTTCGCGTAATAAAGGCTTTTCAATACCGCATTATAGCGCCAGAGCCTCTCGTAAAGATGGAAGAATCGATGGTGCGTGGGTATCTATGGATAAAGAAATCTTTGGGGACATAAATATACGTTGCCTTTATTG